ATGAAAACTGCGTGGGAGCAGGGGACCACCCAGAGCAGGTTCCTGTTATTCCTTTGGATAGAATTTCATAGAATCCCAGCTTGGTTTGTGTTGGAAGGGACCTTAACACTCACCCAGCTCCAACCCCTGCCACAGGCAGGGACCCCTTCCACTGGAGCAGCTTGCTCCAAGCCCCTGTGTCCAACCTGGCCTTGAACACTGCCAGGGATGGGGCAGCCACAGCTTCTCTGGGCACCCTGTGCCAGCACCTCAGCACCTTTTCTTGTGTGGCATCCTACAGAGCAGCCAGCACCAATGTTATCTTATGGGTTCTTCTGCTCCTGCCTCCACCTCCCTGTTCTGGTGGACAGCATTGCTGCTTGCATTGGAGATCTCTGTGCGCCTCATCTGTACAGCACCTTGTGACGCTGGCTCCTTGTCATTGCCACAGTGCCATCATGACTGGGATATCCAACATCTCTCTGTTCTGGTCCCTGGGCTCTGACCACACCAGGATCCTGTGTCTCTTCCAGCCCAGCAGCTCTGTCATCTGCCTGGTGTTCACCACCACAGTACAACCTCTGTCCAGGTCTTCTCTGATGGGCTCAGTGGAGTCCCATGTGGGGTTTGGTGCCACCAGGCCTGGCAGGAGGGTTTTCCAAGCCCAAAAGCAAGAACTAGCCCAAGAAACCTGAGGATCTCCAGCTTTGCAATTATCCTGCTGCACATTTGAGCTCCTGTGGAGCTGGAATCAAACCTTTGACGGGGAAGAAAGGGAGGGCAAGACCTTGCCAGCAGCCTTGGCAGGTGAGACGGCTCCAACTGATGTGAGTGCAGAAAACTCATGATGTCTAAAAGACTCGGGTGTGCTGCACAGCAGCTGAGTGCTGGAGGGGGGTCTCTGATCTGCAACACTGCCCAGGCACACCTTGGGGTTCAGATCACCATCTCTGTCCCAAGGCTGGATTGTATGAGAACAGCTTCCAACCAGTGCCACATCCCAGGGCATGCCTCATCCAGCAAAACCAGTGAAATCTGAGGTGTAAAAGGAGGCTCTTTCTGCTCACCTTGATGCCTCCAGTGCCCTCCTGGTGCTGCCATGGGCAGGCTGTGCCTGTCGGAGCTTCCCTGGGAAGCAGCTCTTCATCTGATGCTTCTGATCTTGAGATCATTTGCACCATAAAAGATGAACTCAGCTGGTCTGGGATTTAGGGCAGCTCTGGGTGTCCCCATCAGATCAAAGGCCAGAGCTATTCCTAAAACCCCACCAGGAGAGCCCACCCAAGAGGTGCATGTCCAGCAAACACTGCATTGCTGTGACTGATGCACAAACTGCCTGGGCTTTTGCCATGTCCTCAGCCCCACAGCCTGATTGCCATGGGAGGGGGTGCAGGGCCTGGCAAGGATGCTCAAGGTGGCCAGATTAGATATGTCTGTGTGAGATGGTCATGGCAGGTGCCCTAGATAGTCCATGGAGAGAAGCAGGAGCTTTCAGAAGTTGTGTTATGCCCTGGAAGTGCTTATCCCTCTCACCAGCTACAGTGGAAGTTTGGGATGGCCTGAGTCATGGAGATGCCTCCATGCAAGACGTGGAGCTGGATAATGATCCTTAAATGCACTGTTAGCAGACCAAATTCAAATCCCAGCTTGAACTGAAATAGGGGAAGGGCAGTTTGCTGCCCTGAAGCCCTTGGGAAGGGGTATTTTACCTGCCTTGGGGCAGACCTACGAGCCTTCACCGTTGTCTGCTGGAAATGCAAGTTTTGAGCAGTTTAGGCTGTAAAAAAAAGGTCAGAAAACTATTCCTGAGGAAAAGAATTGTCTGCTGCTGCTTTGCTTCTGTGTCCAGATGTGTGGGCCTGGGGAGCAGCTCTCAAAGCTGGGAACAGGCAACATCTGAAGGCTGGAAATGGACCTGTACCTCATCCTCCTGCTGCTGCATCCTCATTGCACAGCCAATGAATGAGCCCATTTTAGCATTGCCTAATGATTGTTGCTGCCACAGGGATATATGGACACTGAGTCATAGTTTGCTTCTTATTCAGGCTGCATCATCCTTATTTGATTCATGGAGCACTCTGTGCATGAAAGTGTAAACTGTACTGTTTGATTTCTTATACTTGCTATAACGATTTGCTCAACAAATGAGGTCTTAAAATGGAAACATCCCTGGATACTTGCATGGAATTGACCTTCTCCCGTCAGAAAGAGTGTTCCCTTTTTCTCTTATTCACCCACATATCCAGGCTGCTGTTCTCCGGCACTGAGAGCTGGCAGCAAACACTCACCATCTCCTTGCTTCACTGCCCCATGCAGTGAAACAGGAGGAGCCACACCAGCTCGGGAACAAGCAGTGAAACACCAGGGATGGCTTGGAAGTGTGGAATAACCCTTCCCAACAAAGCCTGTACACCCGTTTCCTTAGTGGGCTCACCAGTCTATTCCCCTTTGCAACCCAACTACGTGAGAACAGAGTTAACCCGGTGCAAGAAAGGAACTCGACGTTTCTGCCTTGGTGGTGGAGCCCGATGCACACAGAAGGAAGGGCCAGCACCAGGAAGGCTGCGCGGAGGCAGGGCAGGGGACCGGGTCAGCGCCCGGACCGCATGCAGTAAGCACTCCCTCTCCTGGGCTGCGGCCACGGTGTCCCAGAGAGACCTCGGGCCGGTCTGGAGGTGCCTCAGGTCGCAGCGGCTCCTGAAGCAGGGCAGCGCCTTTCCCTCGGCCCCAGACGGCCCCAGTTCCACATGGGAACTGCTTCCCAACTCCAAAACGCCCCGGACACTCAATGAAGATACCATGTTTGAACATCCCCATGCTCTCTGTGCCCACCAAGATACAGCATCATGCTCTCCCGGGGTAAAAGCTCATCTTGGGGGACCTAAGAACTGGGGAAAATGCTGGGAAGAGATTCAGCTATCCAAAATCATATCAATAGAGAGCCCAATGTGATTTGCCGTTAAGACACAAACTTCCCTGTGAGAGTGCCCAGAGAAGCTGTGGCTGCCCCATCCCTGGCAGTGCTCAAGGCCAGGTTGGACACAGGGGCTTGGAGCAAGCTGCTCCAGTGGAAGGGGTCCCTGCCCATGGCAGGGGTTTGAGCTGGAGGAGCTTTAAGGTCCCTTCCAACCCAAACCAATCTGTGATTGTCTGATTTAGAGGGACCAGCAGTCACAAAGGCTGTTATGTACTGTGCTGCGAGCTTCTGAAGGCCGGGAGGGAAAGTCTGTGTCAGCTTTCCATCAGCCTTCAATGCCAGGAGCTTCAAGGGCAGAGGAGATTTGAAAGAAAAACACAAATAAAGAAGTTTCCTTCAAAGAGTAAAAAGGTGGGGGGTGTACCAAGGGGTGAAAAGAAAAGGGTTCTTCTGGGGAGCTGTGACTCAGAAATGGCATTTTCTATATTCTAAGAGATGTCAAGTCAGAGGTAATTTATCCACAGCAAGCTGATGCAGTTGCTATGGAGAGCATAATAGGAAGAAACACTTTTTAAATGCATAGTCTATAGAGGAGGGAAGAGTTTGTCAGATAAAACCTGGGTGTGAGGGTGAAATGGGGATGAGGACATTAAAGAAAGCTGTCTGCAGGCACTTCCACCCGGCTGTGAATGCAGGGACTGATCCCACCCTGCTCAGCTTCCCTCCTGCCGGGCAGAGGACTGATCCCAGCTCTGCTTGTGCAGAAGCACAGGACATGGTCACTTCCCTGACAGACTCTGCCCAGCTCCCAGCTCCACACAAGTACTGGGCATTGAGGCACACTGAGACCTTCCTGGGTGCTCATCCAGTGCATTCCCGGGCACCAGCAGCTCCTCCAGCCCAGGGGTGCAGGGCTGGGCAGGACTTTTCCTCCCTGGGATGGAGCTGAGCCCCCTCACTCATGGGCAGGCACAAGCCCAGCTCCCAGTCAAGGCTTGTCCCTGCCAAGATCCTGAATCTGCTCCAGAAGGCCAGGGTTGATCCACCTGACCTCCTGGGATGGGAACAGCCCCATGATGAACTCAGGATGGACACAGGGGAAGTCACCTGTCGCTGGTGGGACCGTTTTGAACTTCAGCAATAAAAGCCAGGTGTATTCACTGCTTTACCTTGAGTCACTTGTCTCAAATGAAGCATCTCTCATATAACACTGGTCCTTTTCCTGGACCATCCATCTTGCTGTTCAGTGCCAGACAGATTGGGAAGTCTCGTTCCAGCTCCTGGTTGACAATGAGCTAGGGGGTGACATTTGCCTGAAAACAATTGCCCTGATGTGTGTCAGGGCTGTAACGTGAAGACTTCTTCCCCCACCAGAGAGCTGCAGCCTTTCCTACAAGTGTTCCACGTTCAGTAGCTCACAGAAATGCTCCTGTAGGTAGAGCCAATGAGGGACCAGAGATTCACAGGAGCAAAACATCAGAGGGTGGAATCTCTTCTTCAAGGAGCAGACCCAAAGGTCACCATATCTCCACCTGGCCCATGAATATCACCCCTTTGTACTGGGCAACAGACCCTGTTCACAAACCTTGTCCTGGGGAGAAAACAACCAACCAACCAAGCAGCTGATTTTTAGCTCATGGTAGAGGTCGGTCCCACACAGAGAGGGAACCATGGGCAGTGATCCAGCATCCCTGCTCATGCGCCTCAGTTTCACTCTTTCCATCTGGTACTCTGGGAGAGAGGGAGCAAGCTCCTGCCCTGGTCTCGGGGGCACTGGGGTGCAGATGTCAGGGGCCCTGCAATGCCTGCACAAGACAGCAGAGGCCACCGGACACAGGGTGTGGTGGATAACAGTGAGGAGAGGAAAGGACTCTGCCTTGGCTCATCTCCCCAGAGGCCAGGCCCTGGACAGTGATTGGTTCTCACTGCCGTGTCCAGGCAACCACATCAGCATCTTCCAACTGTGCCTGGCAACTGCCACCGGCAGCTGGTGGGCATCAACACCTCGGGCACAACAGAGGCGAGGCAGAGGCCAGAGGCATGCAGGGGCTCACCCCTTGCCCGGCTGCCTGCACACACGCTGCTAGGGAAGCTCTAACCTGGGAGAGGAGCAGTGCCTGAAAGACCTGGACCCGTGGCTGCAGCAATGGGCACCATGGATGATGAGGACCTGCTGGACTATTTCCGCATGGAGTACAGGTGGAACATCCTGCACCTAAAGAGGTGAGGGGGCTCCTCCACCTGCTCCCATCCCATTCTCCTGTCTCCTCCAACCTCCTTCCCCTACCATAGCAAACACATCCCTTGTCTCCACCACTTCAGTCTCCTCTTGTAGCTCCCTTCCTCAGCCCTGTTCCTCCCTGCAACACCCCCTGGCTCAGTCTGTGGGATCCCTGCTGGGGAGCTCGGGGATGCCATGCTGGCAGCTGGGATCTAAACCAGTACTGGGTTGCTGTGCCCAATCACCCCACTCAGGACCTTGAGGGCAGAGCAGCCCCGCGCCCTGCCAAGGCACTGGAGCAGCACATAACCTCGAGGAAACCTTGTGCGCAGGAAGCTGCGACAGGCAGAGGAGGACTCCCTGTCCGTATTTATCTGCCTCCAGGAGAAGAGGAAAGAAGCCAAACGGCTGCAAGAGGCTCTGGAGGTGAAGGAGGTGAGAAAGCTGGGGCATGGTTGGGAGGCTTTGCTGGAGGGCAGCAGAGGGCAGGGTCTGGCTGTGGGTGCCAGCAGCAGTCCCACTCGCTCTGTGCTGCCAGGACTTCAAGGAGAGGATGGAAGCCGTGGTGTGCTGCTGGCAGGACCTGCACACCCAGGCCGCTGAGCTGAAAACACACACGGAGGAATCCCTGAGCATCGCAAAGGTCAGCACCGACCTGAGCCACGCACCTCCTGCCCGGGGAGACAGAGCGGGGCCACCACGTCTGCCCGAGCCCCCTGGAGCCTGGAGCTGTGAGGAGCAGCACTGGCAGTTAAATGGGGAGTGAAAATGCAATCAGGGGAGCTCCAGGCCTGGTCTCTCTCCTGGGAAGGCATCCCCCCCCGGTGCTGCTGAGTGACCCGGCTCTGTCTTCCTATGCCTCTCTCTCCCTCTGTGTGTGTTGGTGGGGGAAACATCACCAGGAATATGATAAGATGCGAGTCCAAGCTCTGAAGACAGCCACCAGAAAGAGAGAGAAGAAGGTACAAAAGGAGTTGGAGCTCTTGAGAGCCAAGAGGAAACTGGAAGTCTGGAGAAATAAGCATGAGAAACTCTACAACAAAGTGCAAAAATACTCCATCTTCAAAAGATACCTGGAGGATGTGGTGAAGATCTCACAGGCGAGTTTGCACATGAGAGAGGTTATGGCCTCGAGGAGGGCCCTATGGGGATGTTTAACCTAGAGGAGACAAAGCAAGTCCAGGGAAATCGTAACACTTGGACAAACCCAGAGGCCTCAGATGGCATGAGACATAGTTCTTTGCAATAAGGTGAGCCAAGGGGACCAGAATTAGGGGAGGAGAATCTGAAGGGGGATGAATGCTTAAGAAAACTAAAGAAAATCTGTTAGAAAGGGGACAAGCAAAGGGCTGAGGGGAATGGGGACCCCTTGGTGTCACTTTCATGTCACATTGGTGGTCTGGGAGTAGGGAAAAGCTGCCTGGGAATGGGAACACAGGCAGTTGGCACAAAAGCTGTGCCTGGGCATCACTCCATGCATCACTCCATGCATCACTCCTGCAGTCCCAGCTGCCCCCTCCAGTGTCCAGCTGACTCAGCAGTTGCACTTGTGCTGTGTGTTCTATCAGAGCACTGCTCCTTGGGGAAGAGATGCAAGGTGACAGCTCTGGGACTGGCACAGTGGGATGCCATCGTACAGTGAACGGGGCCATGTCCACAGAGCAACTGGGGCAATGGTCTTGCCAAGAAGGGAAGATCTTTTGGTGATGGGAGATGATGTCCCTGGTCGGGGCAGGGAGCCGAGCAGCACAAGACGTGCAATCATGACGAGGGGAGGGCAGGGGGATCACTAACACCAGGAGCCCTGTGCTGCAGTTTGCGGACATCCAGGAAGTCATTTCACCCTACAAGATGCTGATGAGGGTGCTCAGGGACCTGGAGCAGTTGCAAGAGAGGCATAAGGAAAAGTCCGAGCAAGCCAGGGTGTTGGTGGACCAGTACATAGCAGAGAAAGAAGCTGAGATCCTGCAGTACAAACACAAGCTGGTGGAGCTCCAGCAACGCTTTGATCAGGCTAAAGAAGACGTCCAGTTCTGGGTAAGGAAATGAGGGGTGGGCAGGGGAAGATTTCCAAGGCATGGCTGTGTTAAGAGCAGCTGATGGCTCACCCCTAAGCCATGGGGTCATGGCAAGGCCCAGTAGCAGCCTTTGTGATTGGAGATGTGTAAATTTTGTCCTCCCAAGGGGTTGTAGAATGGATGACAGAGCAGGTCTGGAGCAGGTTAGAGCAGGGGTTAAAACTAGGCCCGCCTTACAAAGCCATCATGATCTTTCACTCCTTGTTTGAGCTCACAGTCAGAAGACATCAGCCAACCAGGCTCTAGGGAGATCTGCCTTGGCACAAAACCCAAGCCTCCTCTGCCACATGCCCATTGGGTTTGTCTGCCCTGCTTATAATCATTCCCATTCACCATTGCAGCATCCTCCCTGTCACTGGGCTTCAGTGTGGCACATCTCATGGTCCTCAGTGCTCATGGCTCAGGCCTCAGGGTGAAGCTGGCTTTGCTCATTTTTATTATCTGCTCATCAGGGCTTACCCCTTCTCCTCCCTCCTCACCAGTCCAGCAGTGACCAGACTGGTGCTGAACTGGGCTGTAGTGAGGCACATCAATGTGCAGCCAGTGCTTAGTGTGCAGGAATGCCCCAGCTCTGTTGACCTCTGCTCCTTTTGCACTGCTCTGAGGGGGCCCAGCCAAATTCACTATTGGACACTCTGGGAGCTGGGCCCCATCGGGCAAAGCTGGAGAGCAGGCGGTCTGGAAGGCCAGCAGCAGGATGTGTGGGTACCAGGGTACCAGCCAGCCCTGCTGGGCAGCGAGGACCTCACCTGCAGGGTGAGGACTGCAGGAGCTGGCACAGACAGGGGGAGGTTCCTGGATCTGCTTCCACCACCAAGCTGAAGCACCACAGCCTTGGGCAAGGACAGGTTCGTCCTAGCAAAACCGATGAGTGCTGAAGTTAGGGTCTCCAAGCCAGGGTCTTCAGTGCTGAAGCAGCATCTTTGCTGGAGCATGTCCCCATGTTGCCTCTCTCCTCTCCTCTCCTCTCAGGAGACTCGCTGGGCTGACATCCAGGAAACAAGTCCCAAGAAAGCCCTGGAGCTGGGCACCATCAGGATGGCCATCCTCAACCTCTTCCAGAGTGCCAACAGAAAGATGAACACCAAACTGAACGTGCCAGTGGATGGCAGCCATAGACAACTGAATAGGGTACAGCCAAGCCAGACCCCTTCTCCCCAGAAGGAAGAGCAGGAATAACTCTCAGCTGCCTAAAGGAAAGCGAGAGAAATCATGGTGCCCAACAGACACCTTCCTTTTCACTCTTGGGCATGGGGAATGGGCAGGGGACACCAGGCAAACTTGTCTCATCCGAGGAGGTCCCTGTGGAGCAGGAGGCAGGGCAGCCAGGCTGGGGCAGTGGATGCAGGGGATGCAGATCAATCCATGGCCAAGGTTTGGTTTTACTCACCCTTGCCCTGAACTCAGAGTCGCCCACAAAAGCCCATTCTGGTGGTACAGGGCCAACAAGCCCCCATCTGCCTCCTGTTCCCATCCCTGCTCTGAGCTCTGCCATCTCCTTTCTCCACCCTAGATTCAGCAGTGTATCCAAGACCTTGCAGACATCTCCATGGAGGTCAAAGAGGACATACAGAACCACCAGCGAGCAGCTGTACCTACAGGACATGGCAACGTGAGGGGCTCTGCAAGGGTGGGAAGAGCAGGACAGAGGGCCCGACTGGTACTGTAGCTCCAACAGTGAAGTTTCATCCCTTCTGACTCTTGTGTCCTGTACAGTTGCTGGCATCTTATTCTACTAAAAGTAACCAAATACCTGAATGCGACTCTTAATTTCCTGAGAGGATGGGAATCATCAGAGCAGCTCCATCCCACAGCTTCATCCCCGATGCCACTGGGATGCCTTCTCCGGCAGATGGGGCTCATGCAAAGCATGCAAGATAGGGAGAGCAGGCTGGGACAGGAATATAGTCTCAAATAGGGCTTAGTACTAGTGCTCACATCTGGACATCCTACTCGGCTCTGAGGTACCTGGAGGGATGACACAAAGGGGTGGGGGGACTGCGCTTTGGGAGGACTACAACCAGCACACTCGTGGATGTGGATGTCTCCGCACAGGCACGTGCTACACAATAAAACTCAGCTCCCCCCTCAGATGGAGCCCCAGGAGAGCACAGATGAACCCCCTCCCTTCCCCAAACCTGGGCTTTAATGAGTGACAGGGAGAACGGGTGCCCCCCAGAGCTGGTGCTGGATGCATACTTGGAACGCGGAGGAAGGATGGGTTAGGGGAGGGAATGGTTGCTGCAGAGTTTCAGCAGAGGATGCTCCTCCTGTGGCTTTGCTGTTGCTATTTCTGCAGGCTTGAAGTTGTACAAATGAACACAGTCAGAAACACAGTACCTTAAGTCAGGTGTCAGCAAGGACTCATCCAGGAAATCCAATTCCCCTCCAGTCTCTGAGCTCAGACCCATGTTGGGCCATTGAAGCTTAGTGAGCTACCATCCATCAGCAGACAATGACCCTGGTAGTGTCCTCGTTGTGATGCCACTGCAGAAGAAAACACAAGGAAAGACCCATTGCGGAGGGAAGGGCAGTAACTGCTTCCCAGCTGCTGTATGTGGAAGAAGAGCCCATTTCTTTCTGAAACCTTGACATGCAAATGCAGCGTGGGCCATGATGTGTCCTGGGTAGATCTGAATGGATGGATCCCCAGAGCAGTGGGAGGTGAGTGGCATCTCAGCTGGCAAGGAAAAGGAAACGCTGCAGCCACCATGTGCCTACACTTCAGTGATTATATTATATTCATTCTATGAAGCAGGGATCATTGTTGGGGGGGGCAGGAGTGGGGTGCTCCTCCAGGGAAGGAGTTAAGATGGCAGCAAAGGAGGTGGGAGGATGCCCTCACTGACAGGACACAGCCCAGTGGTGTGAGAGCAAGAGCAGAAAGGTCCATGGCTGTGCCCAGTGATGCCCATGCCAGTCTGCAGTGAGGAAGCAGCTCTAAGGTGAAGCCAGAAAGTCAAGTCAGCTAGGCAAAGTGAGAACTAGCCAGGTACAAGGCTGGGCACAGGCTTACCTAAAACGCAAGGACCAAGGATCTGAGCATAAATACAGCTCTGAAGCAAAGCAAGGGAAGCCCCAGGGAAGGCTCCACACAGCTCCTCATGTCTTACCTGTTCCCCAGGGCTGCCCACTTGAGGGCTGGCCCTGAGCACAGGCAACCAGACCATGGTGAGTAGGAAAGGGGTCACAGAGCCTGCAGGTGCACTGAGACCTCCTTGCATTGGGCTGCACCCCCAGAGCGTGGGCAGCAGCTCAGGGAGGGGATCCTGCCCCTCTGCTGTGCTCTGGGGACACCCCCCCTGCAGCCCTGATCCAGCTCTGGGGCAGCAGCACAAGAGGGACCTGGAGCTGTTGGAGCGAGGCCAGAGGAGGCCATGGAGATGCTGCGAGGGCTGGAGCAGCTCTGCTCTGGAGCCAGGCTGAGAGAGCTGGGCTGGGGCAGCCTGGAGAAGAGAAGGCTCCTGAAGGGGAGACCTGAGAGCAGCTCCAGTGCCTAAAGGGGCTGCAGGAAACCTGGAGAGGGGCTTGGGACAAGGGATGGAGGGACAGGCCAAGGGGAATGGCTTGAACCTGCCCGAGGGGAGACTGAGCTGAGCTCTTAGGCAGAAGCTCTTCCCTGTGAGGGTGCTGAGGCGCTGGCACAGGGTGCCCAGAGAAGCTGTGGCTGCCCCATCCCTGGCAGTGCTCAAGGCCAGGTTGGACACAGGGGCTTGGAGCAAGCTGCTCCAGTGGAAGGGGTCCCTGCCCGTGGCAGGGGTTGGAGGTGGGTGAGCTTTGAGGTCCCTTCACCCCAAACCAGCCTGAAGTTCTATGATTCTATAAATGGAATGCTTTCTCTTGCTCTCTTCATCGCCCCCCACATGTGGGCTATGGGTCCGCAGGGATTCCTTGTATGGGAAGACCTTCCCCCGATTCCCAAGGGGCATACCCTTCTGCTGCCATGCCTGAGCCTCTTTCCCCATCAATGGAACACCTCCAGCCTGGCTGTGCTCTCACCAGGGCAATAAGAGGCACGTGCTGAGAGCACTTCAGCACAGGGAAAATCCATTTCTCAATGGGAAGAGAATATATTCCTTTGTCTTTGCATGGAGTGATCCATGCTCAGCCCAGGACCAGGCCTCAGAAGCAGCCTGTCATCTCCTTGGAGACAGCAGCTCTCTGTGCCAGGCTGGATCTTGGAGCCTTCACCCCATAGGCAGCAGCATCCTCGGGCACTGGCCCTTCCCTTGCTCTTCTGGGAGACGAAATACAGAGCAGCAGAAGAGAGAGGACAAGCACAAGGAGAGAACAATCCCTGCTGAGGCCCTCGGGGATCCCAGGGGTTGGTGAGTGCCTCGCAGAGGCTCTGGTGATGACACCAGGAGCTGCTGCCTGCGCTGGGAAAGCCAGCCCATGACTCGTGAGCCGAGACGATGCGCGCTTGTGCCCTTGTGAATCGTCTCAGCAGTGATGTGTGCAAAGGGACCCGCAGCATTGCCACCCGTCGGAGAGGTGACTCAGCTGTCCCCTCTCCTTCCACCCACTGCCACGGCTCACCACATCACCTTGATGCATCTCACTGGGGGCAGCAGGAGGAGCTGGTGCAAGCTAATGGGAGAGGAAGAAGTGAGGTTGCAGCTCTGAGCCTGCCGCTTGGCAAGTGATGGACAAGGCTGTCTCCAGGATGAGCTTATGCAGAAGACAGACGATGGGGCAGGTTCCTGAAGCCCTTTGAGCACTCAGTACTGGCCAGTTCAGAGAATTCAGAACCTTCAGCATGGGACAGAAAGGAAACAAGAGGCCTTGGTCCAACCAGGAGCTTTCTGACCTGTTTCAATCTATTTTCTGCCTTTCATTGAGCAGACAAGGCTTGGCTGTGTCCGTCTTCAGCCAGTACATCACACTCAGCATGTCCCTTACAACTGAACCCAAAGGCCAAGCTGAAGACCTGTGCTCCTGACTGATCCTGATGCCGTGCTCAGCCCCAGCAGCCCCCAGCATCCTGAACACGAAGCTGCAGGACATGTGGATGCTGCTCTGCAGCATCATTTGCTGGAGCTGCTCAGTTCTGTGGCACCATCCGTGCCCCCACACAGTGAAATACCTGGTTTTAGAAAGTCAGAGACCAGCAATTGAAGCTTGGGGGCAGATTTTACCTTTTCTTATGTGCCATTTATGCCACACTAGCAGAGCAAAGATAGCAGATCCCACCAATGCCCAATATGCTTTTTTGGACAAAGCGAAACCACTGTGACTCATGGTGCCATGGGAATATGGAAGGAAAGACTAAAATGACCTATTTAGGCATCAGGGTTTTAGTTCTATGATTCTGTGTGTAATGAACAAGCTTTTTGTGTTCATAACCTGCCTTCTCCTTGGGGAATTGTTGGGCTTGGATTTGTTTGCATTGTGCTTTTTGGGTTGGAGTGGGTTTTTCTGTAAGATTTCTTTCTTTTGGCGCAGAGAAGAGATGACTAAAGCATTGGCTAAATGCACAGTCTGTTTTGCCTCTTGCTGATGGCAGATTCCCAGCACATGGAGATGTTGTTATTGGTTTAATGTGGACTCTGTCAACGTTTCCTCTGGAGCAGCCTGCGATTCCACCCGCGTGGGCATGAGCAGGCACCGCTGGTCCTCCCTGCTGCTCCCTGCTCTGCGGGGCAGCTCTGCCCCAGCATCTGGGGGGGTCCCACTTCAGGGGCTTGTGCCCCAAGTGGCCACAGGCAGAGAGGCCACGGCACAGCCCCAGTGACAGGAACCTGCTCGGACACAGAGCATGGCTGCATGGAAAGGTCCCTTAGGATGCTCTCTCTTGGAGACCTGCTACCTCGCCTCTGGGGCTCTCTGCAAGGGGGCATGGGGACAGCCCTGTACTAGCACTGACCAATGTCCTCAGCAGTGACTTCAGAAGTCACTTGTTGGCTTGTTATCCCCACAATTAGCACTTATCCAGGACACATCCAGAGCATGGAATGCCAAGCACCACTGGGTGCCAGATGGCAAAGACATGGAAGTCATTAAACCCAAATTAGAGCACATGCAGTTTCCAGCTGCCTCATCCAAGAGAACATGCGGGTGCCAGAGCTTCCTGCTCCCCTCTCAGCAGTCACTGGCACAAGAGCACATCGTACCTGTGGGTGAATGCAAGATCCCTGGTCCTGCACGACTGACAAGACCCAGCAAATCCCAGACTTCGCCCTGCCTCCCTGCTCCTCCTCAGCCCATCTCCCACCTCCTTGTCTTCCGCAGCATGTGCACCATGAGGTGTTCTTTAGTCACCACCAAAGGCCCTGCAGTGTGCAGGCTGCCTGCCCTGCTCTGGAGCTCCTCGAGGGTGGGATACAGGAGGGAAGAGCTGGGAGACCAAGAGAAGAGGTGGTGCAGCCAGGCACCCTTCAGTGCTCCATTAAGCAAAGTGCTTTAAGACATTTGATGTTCCACAACCTGCCTATAAATGGTACCACTGAGGCTTGGTGAGGACAGAAGGCTGTTATCAGTGAACCAAAATATCAATATACTGACAAATAAAGGATACAAACCCAGGGAGGCTGTTTTTTACCTTTCCAAAGGTTTTTCATCCTGGCCCAGAAGTGAAATGTCAGGTCGGGTTGGGAATCCTGCTGCAGCAGCAGGAGCTGCTCTGTACCACCACCATACCAGGGAGCTCCAAAGTCAACCTGACTCTTTAGGATATTGTTTGTTCCACTTCAACCACCCTGCTGTGACACAGCCTCTGCAGAGGTCCCAGGCAGGGAAAATACCTCCAAACCAAGCTTTCAACAGACATTTATTTGTTTGGGTTTAAATCAATGCACATGAAACAGTGTCGCTCCCGTGTGCTGCACACCTTTGCCATGGGTTAAAGTACAGGCCAAATGGTATTGTACGACCAGGACAGAAGCCTGTCTCCTTCTCCATGACCAGCCACACAAACACAGAACAAACCAGGCGAGGACCTTGCCCATGTGCCCCCAGC